TAAAAAGAATCAACTTGAGGATGATTTTTCATTCCTCAAAGGAAACCTATCCTAGAAGACATATATGTAAACAGGGTTTTTTTTTCTAAATAATTATTAATTTAATTTATTATTATTATTTCTTAATTTGAACAGAGAGAGAGAGAAAGTGAAAAGGCAAGCTGCTAGGTCTCGAACTACAGCTGACCATGTGGGAGACTAGTACCTCAGTCACCATGCCACCTGCCTACGTAACAGTTGTTTTTGGGTAAATAATTACTTATGTAATTTAAGTAATTAATTTAAGTTTTTGACTAGAGAGAGAAAGCAAGCTGCCAGGTCTAAGACTTGAACCATGGTTGGCCATGTGGGTATCCAGAGCCTCAACCACCACAACCTCTGCCAGCCCCTCCAACAGGTTTTTTTTTTTTAAAGCTGTTGAAGTGAGTGTGCCTTGCCTATTTTACACCCCTTTGGATTACAGTTTGAAACACTCCAAAAAGTCAAATTCATCCTTTTATAGTACGAGAAACGCAGTGATTGATGTAAACGCAGTCATGTAGTTACGTAGTGCAGGGTCTACATTAGGACTCAGTTCGGGTGTCCAGCCATCTTCTTTTTCCATAATTAGTATCTTCTCCAGCTCTTTTTGTGATGAATGCATTCGAAGTATGGTATAACTGACTGAAATACATGAATTTTGAAACTCGACTATGTAATAAGAAGAGTACCTGGGTGAATAAAAATAATTTTACTTCTTTTCCCTGCTAGAGGAAGAGATGCTGGAACCACGGGAGAATGGCTCGGATGATCTGCCAGACTATGAGCATATAGATGATGAAACTTTCCCTCCTTTCCCGCCTCCAGAGAGGGGAGCTGCTGAAGGAGCTGATGCCGATGAAGGTTTGTATTGGGAGTGTAAGAAAGTGTCTGTGTTCCGTTATTCAACTGTCAGCTTAGAAATGATCTGTTTATAAAAAGGCTTGCAATATTTAAGTATTACTAAATCTTCGTATATTTCATCAGAATCAGGGCGAATACCTGTTCCTGTACCTCCAAAGAGAACAGTTAAAAGGAACATACCCAAGCTGGATGCACAGAGGTTTGTTTACTGTTTATCTTTACATGTGTGCTTGTTCCTTCTTTTTTGGAGAGGTTTTTGCTATAGGGCGCGTGTGCTCGCCAGACAGAGAGAGAGAGACATAGAGACAGAAAGCGAGAAATCACCCCCTGGGGGGATAGTCACACCGCAATCCCTTCTCCTCCATTCTCCTCCCGGGATCTTGGGCACGCACGCATACGCTCCTGGCGTGAGTTCTAAGCCACCGGGTCCGGGACGCGAACCGTGGTTGACTACGTGGGAATCCGGTGACATAGCCATTACGCTAACTGCTAGTTCCCATTTGTTCCTTCTTTATTCAGGATTAAAGCATGTGCTCCTGTGTGTGAGAGAGAGAAGTACCCTTCTCTGAGTTTGGGTGTGTCATCCGTGAGCCCTTTCCTCCAGTCCTCCAGCCTCTCAGACTTGGGGCATGTGCCTGTGCCTGGTGTGTTTTCAGGCCGACCTGGCTGGGAATTTAAACTGCAGTGCCATGTGGGATCCGATCTGGCTCTCTTGCATAGCACATTACCACTGTGCCGTGGAGCTGTTCATATTGCTTTTTCTTTACATCTGTTTTATTTTTTTCAATGTTGTAAGCTTTTGGGTGAGATAATTTGATCACATTTTATTTTGTTTTTTAAAATTTTGCTAGAGGGTGAATGTACTCACCAGAGAGAGAAAGAGAAGGAAAGTGAGAAATCACCCCTCGGGGGATGGTCCCTCCACAGTCCTGTCTCCTCCAGTCTCCTCTTGGGATTTTGAGTACATAAGCACACGTGCTTGATGTGATTTTCAAGCCACTGGGTCTGGGACTCAAACCATGCAGGTGTCCATGTGGGATCCAGTACCATAACCTCCACACCACCTGCTGGCCCAGAGATTACATGTTTTTAAAAATCATTTTTTTCATTTCAAGAAAAAATACTGTTTCTCATTATGGTTTTAGTGTGGATTTGACTCAAGGAAAGAAAATTCAAAGTTTATTTCTCTTCACAGGTTAATTTCAGAGAGAGGGCTTCCAGCCTTAAGGCATGTGTTCGAAAAGGCAAAATTCAAAGGTAAAGGTCACGAGGTAAGAAATATCTGGCTCATGGGACCAGCAGTTGGTGTAATGGCTATGTCGCTGGACTCCCATGTAATTGACCTCAGTTTGAGTCCCGGACCTGGTGGCTTAAAGTGATGTCGGGCACGCGTGCACGCATGCCCAAGATCCAGAGAGGAGAATGGAGGAGAAGGGATTGCAGAGTGGCCACTCCCCCTGGGGGGTGATTTCTTGCTTTCTGTCTCTCTGTCTCTCTTTGTCTTTCTGGTGAGTGCATGAGTCCTATAGCAAAAACCTCTCCCCCCCAAAAAAGAAATATCTGGCTCTTATTCTAGACTTCTTTTTTTTTTGTTTTGTTTTGTTTTTTAAACAGTAAGACTGTGGGATCTTTATGAAGCCTGGATTTGTAGTTTATAATTTAAAGAAATAAAGTTTACTTTGTCCGCTTCCAAGAGTGCTGTGAGCTTCAGGAGGGCAAGTGCTTTGCCTGTCTGGGTCCCTGGTGTGTCCCCAGTACGTGGCACAGCACCTGGTCCTAATAGGCATCAGGAAAGTTCTGTTGACAGATGAAGACATTTAACAAGTATCATCATTGTACACATAGACATTTTAAAATTCTTTTATCTGAGACCGGCAGGTGGCATAGTGATTAGGGTGTTGGACTCTTGCATGGCTGACCGCAGTTCAAGTCATAGACCTGGTACCTTGCTTTCTCGCTTTCCCTCTCTGTGTCTCTCTCTGATCAAATTAAATAATAATAAATAAGATTAAATCAAATAATTTTTTGAGTAATTATTTTATTTAACTGTCTATTTATTTATTTAAATTTGATCAGAGAGGGACATAACAAGGAAAAGGGAAAGTGAGAAAGCAAGTTGCCAGGTCCAGGACTTGAACCACAGTCAGCTGTGTGGGAGTCCAGCATCCTTTACCACCATGCCACCTGTTAGCCCTTAAATCAAATAATTCTTTAAAAATAAATTCTCTTTTGTATAGGTACAGTCTTTTAAAAATGATATATTTTTATAGAGCTTTGAAGTTTCTAAAGCGTTTCACTTTTTTTTTCTCTCAAGTTTATTTACTTATCCTGTGAGTCAGAGAGAACATCACATCAACCGGGTCTCGGTGATGTGGCTCTGGATCATGAGCACACATGCACCCCGTGTCATGGAGGTCTCTGGATTCGAGCCTAGAACTTCCCCACATGGGTCAGCTTTGCAGTGTTGAATCTTACCTCAGTGCCACCACCAACTAGCTTCCCTAGAAATGTTCTTTTCTTTTTTTTCTAGAGAGATTTTTTGGTATAGAGCACTGTCACCAGAGAGCTGGAGAAATAGAAAGCGAGAAGTCACCCCCCTAGGGGGAATGGCCACGCCACATTCCCTTCTCCACTCTCTTGGGATTTTGGGCACACATACCTGGCTTGAGTTCCAAGCCCCCCAGGTTCAGGCTCAAATAGTGGTTCACTATGCGGGAGTCCAGTGATGTAAACATTACACTATCTGCTGGTTCCTCAGGTATTTTATTCTTCAATTTTCTTTTCTTTTTTAAAATTTTTGCTGGCGGGCATGTGAGTTTGCCAGAGAGATACAGTGAGAAGGAGAAAGTACCCTTACACCCCTCGTGGAGAGTGGTTACACCGCAGTTCCTTCTCTGTTTCTCCATCCTGTTGGGATTGTACTCATGTACACAAGCCTGGCCAGGTCTGAGATCAGACTGCTAGGTTACACTCCAGATTTTCCTTTTTTTTTTTCCTTTTAAATTGCCAGAGGGCACACACGCTCACTGGAAAGAGAGAGGAAGAATGAGAGAAAAATAAAGCACCTTCAAGTGGGACATGGTCACACCATAATCTCTTTTTCTCCATTTCTTTCTGGTGAGAATTTTGGGCTTATGCACATGCGCCTGGCATGTTTTTTAAGCTGCAGGGGCTGGAAACAGTGGCCATATGGGATGCAGCTTCCTGTGCACAGCACTTACAAAGATATTGGGCCAGCTGTCCTTTAATTTTTTTTTTTTTTTTCGAAAGGTTTTTGCTATAGGGCGCATGCAATCGCCAGAAAGACAGAGACAGACAGAAAGCGAGAAATCACCCCCTCCAGGGGGGATGGCCACGCCACAACCCCTTCTCCTCCATTCTCTTCGTGGGATCTTGGACATGCATGCACACGTGCCTGGTGTGAGTTTAAGCCACTGGGTCTGAGACTTGAACCACGGTTGCCTACGCGAGAGTCCAACGATATAGCCATTACACCAACTGCTGGTCCCACCGTCCTTTAATTTTCAAACTGTAGTATAGGCATTGGTCTTACTATATAAAGAAATAGAGTTTTAAGTGATCACTGCCATAGCTAAAGGCTAGACTTCCCATTTCATTGCCCAGCTGTAGTAATACTATAGTGAGTACCATTTCAGTGTGGCGTGCAGGATCATTTGGAAGGGGGAGGAGACTAGAGGCAGATTGTAGCTCAGAGACTTTTGTACCAGTGGGAGGAGGTAGTAGTGGACTGTGGAGTAACAGTCAAAAAATGAATGACATATGGAATTTGTAGATTGGCTATATGATAATAAAAAATGAGTTAAAAATAACCCTGCGGCCAGCAAGTGGTGTCATAGGTAGGGTTCTGAATCCTACATGGGTTACTGTGGTTCAAATCCTGGACCTGGCAGTTTGAAAATGATGCATGTGTGCCCAATATCCTAGGAGGAGAAGGGATTGTGTGGGGGGAGGTGATTTCCTTACTTTCTCTCTCACTGTCTCTCTGGAGAGCACATGTACGCCATGGGGAAAACCTTGAAAAATAAATAAAAATAAAAATAGTCTCAAGACCTCAAACTTGGGCGCCTGAAAAATTGTACATTTTCTCAGTTTCAGTGGACATAGAATATATACCTATGTTTTTGTATTGCCACACAACTAAACATAAATCAGAATTAAATTTTTTCTTTTTAAGCTTTTTGCCATAGAGTGCATGTACTCACCAGAAAGAGACAGGGAGAGGGAAAATGAGAAATCACACCCCTATGCACACACAAGAGATGGTTGACAATGTAGGAGTCCAGCACCTTAGCCACCATGCCATTTCCTGGCCTCAAGGTGAATGAATTTTTTTGTTCGTTTTTAAAGATTTAATTTTATTTGTTATTATTACTTATCTTTTTAATTTGACCAGAGGGAGACAGAGAAATAGAGAGAGAGAGAAGCAAGCCGCCAGGTCTGGGACTCTTAACCATGGTTGGCCATGTGGGAGTCCAGGGCCTCAACCATCATGCCACCTGCCAGCCCCAGTGATAGAATTTTTAAGAAAACATTCTTTATATTTTTCTGAGAGGATTTTGCTATAGGGTGTGTGCATTCGCCAGAAAGAGACAGAAAGCAAGAAGTCACCCCCACCCCCAGGGGGGATGGCCATGCTGCAATCTGTTCTCCTGGGATCTTGGGCACACACGCATGTTACTGAGCACAAATTAGGTTTGCTCGCCCAAGCGCTATAAAACTAAGCCATAGGCACACGGTGTGATGAAGGAAAGCACAGCTTTATTGTAAAGCGCAAAGCAAGGAGAGTGGGCAGCTCATGCTGAAAAGACCTGGTCTCCCCAAGGTTTTTTCCACATGTGTTTTTAAGGGCAAAATTAGGGGCAGAGGACCTAGGCACATGATTAGTTTAGTGATTGGTTGAAGAGGGTGTGATTATCTCATGGGCATTCTTGATTGGTGAGGCCTTAGATAATCAAGTTTTTCTTTAGGTGTTTGGAACCATTTAGCCTGGAGTCTTTGAGCTCACAACCTGCAGTTTCTAGCCTATAAAAGATCTTACATATTGAAATAAAAACCTTATCTTTCTTGTAAGTGAGAGTTTTAGAGGACAAATGGCCCTCATTTATGGTCCAGGTTGGTCATTATTATAACCAAAGTCAGAAGATTTACTCCTTACTCTGTGCCATTACAATGTAAATTGACTTTATATTTTAGGAACCCTAGAAAATACATTAGGGGGTCCTTGCTCAGTTTCACGGACATGGCATGAGTTTAAGCCACTGGGTCCAGAACTCGAACCGCGGTTGACTACATGGGAGTCCAGTGACGTAACCATTACGCCAACTGCTGGTCCCAGCCCAGCGTGATTTTTAAGCCGTCAGGTCCAGGACTTGAATTGCAGTCGACTACATGGGAGTCCAGTGACATACCATGATTCCATCTACTGATCCCGAAAACCTTTTTATTTTCGCATGTTTTTCAAGGTGTGGAGTCTGGGACCCAGACCGCATAGATGGTCATGTGGCATCAAGCCACTGTAACCTTGACACTATGAGCTGGCCCAGAATTCGTACTTTTATTATCCAAAGGGGGGACTGAGAAGACGAGTTCTCTGTATTACATCTGCAGTCATTGGAAGGGTTGATTGTCTTGACCATTGGCGTCTAGACAAGGTCTCATAATTACAGTAGCCAACATTAGTGTTTGCTTTGTGTCAGGCATTCTACCTGTATTAACCCTTACAATAACCTTATGAAGTATGTATGTTACCCTCATTTTATGCGTGAAGAAAGAAGGCACAGAGAGGTAAAATGATCTGTTCAAAGCCATATTACTGAATTATAGAATTAGGATAGGAATAAAATACATTCTGATCCAGAGCCTGGGCTTCTTATAAAATTTTTAATTTTTAAAAGAATTATTTAATTTAATTTATTATTACTTTTTAATTTGACCAGACAGAGACAGAGAGAAAGTGAGAAAGCAAGCTGCCAGATCTGGGACTGGAACCACAGTTGGCCATGTGGGAGTCCAGCACCTTACCCACTCTTAATCAAATTGGCCCCAATTTTTATTCGTTGTTATTATTATTTTTTAAGTTTGCTATATGGCATATGCACTCACCAGACAGAAAAAGAGAGAAAGAGGGGAAGTGAAAAAGTAAGGTACCATGTGGTTGGCCCTGTAGGGGTCCAGTGCTTTAACCACTATGTTACATGCTAGCCCCCTATAGCTTTAGTCATCTTCCTTTTTAAAAAAAAAAAAATTCTTAGTTGTCATTATCTTTTAATTTAACTAGAAAGAGACAGAGTTAGAGAAAGGGAAAGTGAGACAGCAGGTCACCAGATTCAGGACTCAAATCCTTGTCAGCAATGTGGAAGTCGAGCTCTTTAACCACCAAACCACCTGCTGGTCCTAGTTATTCTCTTTATTTATTTATTTATTTTTTTTTGAGAGAGAGATTTTTGTATAGGGTATGTGTGCGCTCCAGGAAGACGGAAAGTGAGAAATCGTCCCCCAGGGGGATGGCCTTGCCACAACCCCTTCTCTTCCATTCTTGTCTTGGGATTTGGGGAACATATGTTCATGCCTAGCTTGGGTTTCGAGTTGCCAGGTTCGGGATTTAAACTGCTGTCAGCCATGTCGGAGTCCAGCAACTTAACCATTACGCTATCTGCTGGTTTCAGTCATTCTCCTATTTTAAAATACCGTTAAGTGAGGGGCGGCAGTATGTGGAGGTTAAGGAGCCGGACTCCCACATGGCTGACCATAGTTTAAGCCCTGGACCTGACAGCCTGAACTCATGCTGGGCACTGGTACACATAGGCCCTAAATTCCTGGAGGAAAAGGAAGTGAAGGGACCATGGTATGGCCATCCTCCCTGTGGAGCGTTTTCTCCTTTACCTCTCTTTCTCTCTATGGTGAGTGCACATGCCTTATGGCAAACACCTAAAGAAAAAATACCCAAAACTTTTAAGTGAAAAACAAGATATTTTACAGTAAAACCAGGAATTTATAACTATTCTCAATCATTAGTCAAGTTTATTAAACTGTTTTTCATTTTTATTTTTAGAAGCCTTAATTAGAATTTTAAATATAGAGAGGTATTATGGGTTTAGAATGTTTGAAACAGGTCTTATTAGTCTTTGGTATTTTGCCCTTGGGGTTTCTGAATGTATTCTTGCAGTTATGAATTCTCAATGCTTTTCTTCTTTGTGTGATTTAAGGACCTGTCAAAAGGTTTGGTTATTCCTAAAAGATATCTTGACATAGTTTTTATTTTTTTTTAAATAATTATTTTATTAACTTTATTTATTTATTTACTTATTTAAATTTGACAAGAGAGGGACAGTGTGAAAGAGAGTAAGAAAGGGGGAGAGAGAGAGAGAAAGTGAGAAAGCAAGGCACCAGGTCCAGGACTTGAACTGTGGTCGGCCATGTGGGAGTCCAGCACCCTTAACCAGCATGTCAGCTGCTGGCCCTTCTTGACATAGTTTATTTTGAGGTTTTACTTTATAGTTCTGAAAAGACACATATTAATTATTTTTAAAATTCATCAAATTTTCATATAGAAATTTTTCTGATTTTTAAAAATCTGTATGCAGTGCCTTTATAGACTATAGTCTTCTATCATCATATTTTATTAAAGAATTATTTTATTTCTTTTATTATTGTTATTGTAAAAATTTGCTATAATGAGACCAGCAGTTGGCATAATGGCTATGTCACTGGATCTAATATACTTGATCACAGTTCAAGATCGTTTTTAAAATGTGGTCATATTAATAACTGAATTAAATTAGAATGCTGGTAAACTTATCCAATGACTGGTCATTAAGATATAAGAAAATTGGGAACCAGCAGATGGTGTAATGGTTACATCGCCGGACTCCCATATAGTCAACCATGGTTCAAGCCCCGAACCCAGTGTCTTAAATCTCACATCAGGCTAGGACCAGCAAATGGCATAATGGTAACACTGCTGGACTCCCACATGGCTGATCATGGTTCAAGTCCCAGACTGGGAGGTTTGAAACTCAAGCTGGGTGCATATGCATGCATGCCCAAAATCCAGAGTGGAGAAGAGATGGTGGTGTGGCATCCCCCCCAGGGGTTGATTTCTTGCATTCTGTCTCTCTGTCTTTCTGGCGAGCATACGTTCCCTATACCAGAGACCTCTCAAATACATACATACATACATACATACATAAAAATTAAAAATTTGTTTACTATAAGGCACATATGTTCACTACAGAGAGGGAAAGTCAGAAAGCAAGCTGCCAGGTCTGGGACTTGAACCACAGTGGGTCATGTGGGAGTCCAGCGCCTTAACCTCCATGCCACTTTCTTGCCCTAGAGCTTTTAATAAGTATTTTTTTGTTAAGATTAAGCCTCCTTCTAAAAGTTTCCTGACCTTATAAATATGACACCAGTGACTTTGGCATTGCTTTTTAATTCCAAAATCTGCTGACAGCGTTGGTTGTGAGGATGACACTGATGTTTAGCATTTTTATTTTTATGTGCCAGGCTGAAGACTTGAAGATGCTAATCAGACACATGGAGCACTGGGCACATAGGCTATTCCTCAAACTACAGTTTGAGGATTTTATTGACAGAGTTGAATACCTGGGAAATAAAAAGGAGGTCCAGGTAAGTGTTGAGATTATTATGAATATCATTCACAATGTTAAGTACTACAAGGATAGATTTAGTTGAGGCTCAATTGCTGTTTGGGGATCTTTATTTTAAAATCTTCCTTGGTAAAGAGGGAATATGGAGAGTACTTATTTGAAGAACTCTTTTGAAACTAAGAATTGAAAAAATAATCTCCCTTAAAGATTATTCATAAAAATATAAAATCTCTTTTTACTTTCAGACTTGTTTAAAACGAATTCGACTTGATCTCCCTATTTTACATGAAGATTTTGTGAGCAATAGTGGTAAGAATATAGGTTAATCTACTTTATAACAATCTTATTTTTAAAAATAGATCTAGTAGACAGTAGTACAGGACTGCATTCTTAGTCTATATTGTATGTATAATTAAAGCACAGTAAAATACAGTAAATAGAAATAAGTTCAAATGTCCTGGTACATCTCCAATGTTGCATACAATTTTTTTCTGTTTTGTTTTTTTTTTTAGAAATTTTTGTTGTAGAGTGCGTGCACTCTCTGGAGAGGCAGAGACAGAGGGGCAGAAAGTGAAATCACCCCTCAGAGGGATGACCACGCCACAATCCCTTCTCCATTCTCTTCTTAGGATTTTGTCATAGGGCTGGCGCCACCATGCCCTCCTCTCAGGATTTTGGGCACGGATGCATATGTGCCTTTGTGAGTTTCAAACCTCCAGGTCCGGGACTCAAACCACCTACTTGCCCCTAAAATTAGTTTCTTAAATATATGGCTTCAGTGCTGTCAGAGATGTTGTAAGAATATATTTAGCCATAGAATGTGAGCTTTTGAGAACTGATTACTCATTAATTCTTTTATTTTTTTCTTTCCATTCTTTTTTTTTTTGGAGAGATTTTCGCTATAGGGCACATGCGCTCGACAGACAGAGAGAGACATTAGAGACAGAAAGTGAGAAATCACCCCCCCCAGGGTCGATGGTCATGCCGCAGTCCCTTCTCCATTCTCCTCTCAGGATCTTGGGCACACACGCACACGCGCCCGACGTGAGTTTTAAGCCACCGGGTCTGGGACGCGAACCACGGTCGACTACGTGGGAGTCCAGCGATAGCCATTATGCTAACTGCTGGTTCCCAATTCTTTTATTTTTTTTAACTTTATTTTTGTTTTTAAGGTTTTTGCCATAGGGTATGTGTGTGCATTTGCCAGAGAAAGAGGTTTTTGCTACAGGGTGCGTGTGCTTGCCAGAAAGACAGAGAGAGACTGAGAGACTGAAAGCGAGAAATCACCCCCTAGGCACCCCCTGGGGGGTGATTTCTCGCTTTCGGTCTCTCGGTCTCTGTCTGGCGAGCGCACGCGCCCTATAGCAAAAAAAAAAAAACCAAAAACCTCTTTTTAAAAAAAGAAAAGAAAAAAGAAATCACCCCCTAGGGGGATGTCCACGCCACAGTCCCTTCTCCTCTGTTCTCCTCTCAGGATCTTGGGCACACATGCACACACGCCTGCCATGAGTTTAAGCCACCGGGTCCAGGACTTGAATCAATAGTCGACTACATGGGAGTCCAGTGACATAGCTGTCACTCTGATTGCTGGTCCCAAGTTGGAGTGTTTATAAAACATATATACCGTTAGAAAAAGTGGCTTTGGGAAACTAGAATAATTTGGTGCAGAGAGTTCGCATTTCACTCAGAGCAGATCCTGGTATAGGACGTGCGAGGCCTCCGTGACTGTTCCTGGTACTGATTGCATTTGTTAGCTGTACAGTGCAACCATAGGCAGTCACGCACATCAGAGCGCACGGTTCCTGCCGACAGGGTCTGTACAGTCATCAGATGTCCTGTGCGATGGTGCCGTACATGTTTGTTGCTTTTCATCTTTCACTTTTAACAGATTTAGTAGAAAATACAAGGCTCCATATAGAATTCTCCAGAGTGATTTGTAAATTGCTCTGAGAAGGAATGTAATTTAAATAACCTAGGATTGATTTTCTTGGTAAGCTGTTGTCTGTACTGATGGCATAGGACTTGTTTCATGTAAAGGAATGAGTACATATGCCACTGGCTTAGTGTTATTTTGCAGTTTTTTTTTCTTAAGGTTTTCGCTATAGGGTGAGTATATTTACGAGAGAGAGTGAGAGGGAAAGTGAGAAAGCACGCCCTAGGGAGGGATGGTCATGCCTCAGTTCCTTCTCCTGCAGTCTCCTCTCAGACTTTTGGGCACACATGCACACTCGCCCAGAGTGATTTTCAAGCTGCCAGGTCTAGGACTCGAACCACACACCCTGCCACATAGGATTTAGTGCCCTAACCTCCAAACTACCTGCTGGTTCTAAAATTTGCTTTTTAACTGCCATAGGGCATGCTCACCCCAGAGGGAGAAAACATCCTGCCCCTCCCCCCATGGATGTGTCATTTAGAGACAGAGTCTTGCTGTGTCCAGCTGGCTTTGCATTCATGATTTTCCTTCCTATTCCCAAGTAGCTGGAACAGGTGTGCTCCACCACACCAACTACATTTTATAATTTTTAACACAGGCGTAGTTACGTCGTTTTTCTGTCCAAAGCTTTTCAGTGGCCCCTTATTTTATTCAAATAAAAAACTGAAATCCTATAATGTTGATAATACATGGCCCTACAGGGTCTGCCCATGTATCCCCATTCTTCTCTTTCACTGTTCCCCTCTCACAGCTTTGGCCACACTTGCCTCCTGCCTTCCTGGAACATCCCAGGCACGTTTGGATCCTAAGGCTTTAGCACTCTGTGGCCTACTGTCCTCTCCTCTTCGCTCAAATCTGCATAGCTTACTTTTACCCTCTTTAGACTGTGCTCCAGTGTCAACTCAGTGGTTCCCCAGACACTCTTAAATTGTACCTCGCGTCCTACCATTCCTGATTTCCCTACGCAGCGCTCATCTCCCTTTGATTATTTTATAGCTTGCTCACCTTTAGTCTGTACCACAGCGATGGCACTGAACACTTCTGGCTTTAGCTTCTAGGCCATAATCACCTGCCTGTGAGTGTTGCAGTGATAGAATCTCACATGTAGTTGTAATTAATTTTTTTTTTTTAATTGCCAGAGGTGTATGTCCTCGCCAGAGACAGGTGGGGAAGCATGGTCATACCACAGTCCTTTCTCTTTTCATTCCTCCATGCTGTTAGAATTTGGGCATGCTCATGCACCCCGTGTACTTTCAAGTTGTCAGGACCAGGATTTGAATCACAGTCAAGCATGTGGGATCTATCCAGTTCCCTTAACTGTTAGGCTGTGAGACCAACCCCAGAACCTTTTTTTTTTCTTCTTTTAAGAATTGTTTTTATTTAATTTTGTTTATTTTTTTAAAATTTTCATTCGACCAGACACACACACAGAGAAAGTAAGAAAGCAAACTGCTAGGTACAGGACCCAAATTGTGGTCAACCATGTGGGAGTTGTCCAGCGTCTTAACCACCACTCCACCTGCTGCTGTTCCCAACCCTAGAACCTTTTATAATTACTATGTGTGCATTTTGTTGGGCTTACTTGGTTAAAATAGTATTAATACCTGTAGATTTACTTGACTACTCAATCAGACAGCTGCATGTTACAATATACTGAAATTAAAATTGAGTGCGGGCCAGCTCTCCCACCCTTCTACTGCCTCTAGGGCAGCTCACAGACCAGATGGGTAACTCTCATACGATAAACCATAGTGCCAGTCCTTATTTTGAATGCTCGTAAAACTCTGTTTATCTTATTTATTACATGAAACATAAGTGGAAGATGTAATATTATTTGACACACCACTGTGGGTTACTTTGGGGGCATCTTACTTTGAGATGACTGCATAGCTAAGAACTGCACGACTTTAAGAATGTTACACAGGGGTCAGCAGTTGGTGGTTAGGGCACTAGACTCCCACATGGTTGTTTGAGGTTTGAGTCCTGGATATGGTGGCTGCTTTCTCATTCTGTCCCTCTCTCTCTCTCACAGTCTCTCTGGTGAGCATGCATGCCTTATAGCAAATTAAAAAATAATAATAATATGGAACCAGCAGTTAGTGTAATGGCTATGTCGCTGGACTCCCACGTAGTCGACTGCGGTTTGAGTCCCGGACCCGGTGGCTTAAACTCACTCTGGGCGCATGTGTGTGCATGCCTAAGACCTGAGAGGAGAATGGAAGAGAAGGGAAATCACCCCTAGGGAGTTGATTTCTCACTTTCTGTCTCTCTGTCTCTGTCTCTGTCTGTCTGGCGAGCGCACGTGCCCTGTAGCAAAAACCTCTCCCCCTCCAAAAAAATAAAAAATAAAACTTAACACTAATAATACAGAGAGCATTGAATTTTTTTAAAAAAGTAACTTGGAGATATGTCTACAGATTTTTGAATTTGCCTTTTTCATTTGTATCTGGTGGGCTGGCAGGTGGCATAGTGGTTAAGGTGCTGGACTCCCACATGGCCAACCACAGGTCAAGTCTCGGATCAGACGCTCTCACTTTCTCTCTCTCCTCTCGTCAACTTAAATAATAATAACAAATAAAATTAAATAAATACTTAAAAAATGATTTATATAAAATGACCATTGTTACCATACAGACACTATGGCAGGCCATTAAAATGCCTTGGCTTAATGTCGAACAAAAATGCCGTTTGGATTTTTTAAATGATTTTATTAGCATAGCTATATAATTTTTCTAAAGAATTCTTTTATTTATTTATTTATTTTAGTTTGACTAGGGAGGGGGCAGGAGGAGAGAGGGAGGGAAAGTAAGGCAAGCCGCCAGGTCTGGGACTCGAACCGCAGTTGACCATGTCAGCCCTGCATAAAGTATTTCTAATCATAACTAAGAACTTTTTTTTTCCTTTTATTTTTTATTTGCCATAGGGCATATGTACATGCCAAAGAGAGGGAGAGAGTACTTCTTAATAGTGTGTGATTATACCATTATCTCTTCTCCACTTCTGTCCTGAGAGCATGCAAACACACATATGTAGCATGTTTTTGTGAGTCCCTTGGGCCAATGTTCTTTTTTTTTTCTCCTAAAAATGATTTATGTAATTTTATTTATTTAAAAAATTTGCTATAGAGCCATGTGCGCCCTAACCACCACACCACCTGCTTGCCTCTGGGGCCAGGATTCTAACCACATGTTTGGCCAGGTGGTTCTCTTAACCTGTGGACCATTAAGCCCAAGAAGTTTGCCCTTCGTGCATATTTTTGATAGTATTCCATTTGACTGACGCCTCTTTAAAGGTGATTCATACATGTTTCTTTTACCGGTCTGAATCAGCTCTCACACACCACTGTTGCTTCATGTCCGGCGTCTGGCCACGTTTAACTGGTTTTCAGTTACGGGTTGCGCAGGCTCTACCTGTTGGACACTACTAACTTCTTCTTTTCTATTGCAGATGAGGTAGGGGAAAGTAATGACCATGATGATGTAGCTGCTACTGAATTAGATCCCTTCTTGACAACCTCATCTGAAAGTGTGAAGTTTGCCTCTGAGTCGAGCAGGAGCCTAACCGAAGAGCAACAGCAAAGGATTGAGAGAAATAAACAGCTGGCCTTGGAGAGAAGGCAGGCAAAGCTTCTGAGTAATAGTCAGTCCCAAGGAAATGGTAAATTTTATGCTGGATTTTATGTGCTACCATTAATATATCAAGGGCATGTTAGAGATTTTAACTTCTCTGCTATCCACTGTGATAAAATACTTCTAGGAATAGAAAAGTGTGTTAAGTTTTTGTATATTTGAGAGTTAGAGAGTGTGTGTGTGCACGTGTATGTGAGAGAGAGAGCGCAGTTTTTGTATATTTGAGAGTTAGAGAGTGTGTATGTGAGAGAGAGAGCGCGTTTTTGGAATTCTCTAAGAATAGATGAGTTCAAGATGGTTTCTAATTCAGCATAATAATTATGAAAATAATTAAACATATAAAGTATTTTCTGCACCCATTCAGTGGTTTTTTTTTTTTGTTTTTTTTTTTTGAGAGGTTTTTGCTATAGGGCGCATACGCTCACCAGACAGACAGACAGACAGAGAGCGAGAAATCACCCCCCGGGGGGATGGCCACACCACAATCCCTTCTCTTGGGATCTTGGGCACGCACACACACGCACCTGGCATGAGTTTTAAGCCACTGGGTCTGGGACACAAACCGCCGTCGCCTACATGGGAGTCCAGCGACATAGCCATTACGCTAACTGTTGTTCCCAACCCATTGAATATTTTTGAGCTATCTGCTGTGACACAAGTTCGAAAATACTTTTTATTATGTTGTGTCTCTTGTTGTGAGCTGTACTTCTGGCAGCTTTTTCCTTGCTTATCTGTAGCATCCCTTTCTCACACTTAAGGCTGCCTTAAAATTTGCTGGTTTTAAAGCAGACTGGGTTGGAAAGCAGATAACCAATACAGTATTTTAGAATGTATTGCAAGCTGGTTTTAAATGAAGTAAGCAGAACTGTATGTCTTTCCCAATTGCCAATCGTTTTTCCAGTAGAAATGGGAGACAGCCAGTGGAATAGTGGTTAAGGGACTGGATCCCACATAGCCAACTGTGAGTTCTAGACCCAGTGGCTTGAAAAACACTGGGTGCATGTGCATGTATGTCTATAATCCCAGGAGGAAAAGGGATTGTGACATGGCCATCCCTCTTGGAGAGGGAAGGTGCTTTCTCATTTTCTCTCCTGTCTGGTGACAGATTTGCTCATCTTGTAGCAAATTTTTTAAAAAGAGGGAAAATAAAAGTTGTATTAAATTAATACTGTGTTACAAAACAAATTTCACCCAATATAAGAAAATTTTCAAGTGAAAATTACTGTGATCACAGTGGGGTTTTTTAGTTTTTTTTTTTTTTTTGGCTATAGGGTACATGTGCTTGCTAGACACACACGCACACAGACAGAGGGGCAGAGGAGAAGTAAAATAGCACCCCCAGGGGGATGGTCTCACCACAATTCCTTCCCCTCCATTCTCCTCTTGGAATTTTTAGGGACTCATACACACATGCTCAGCGTATTTTTATAAGCTGCCATGTCCTCAGTTGTCCATATGGGCTCTAGCTACCTTAAATCACCACCATGGCATGTGACTGTCCCACGTTAACATAATTTTTTCAATTAAAACACTTAGTTTAAAAAATACTTAGTGTTTTTTTTTTTAAGAGAGATTTTTGCTATAGGGTACATGTGCTCGCTGGTGAGATAATCATGTTAAAAACATTTAGCATCATGTTAAAAACCACACGAAGATAGATGGCAGTGGCTTCCTTGCTGTCAGTTCAGAGTATGCCTGGCAATAGGTATTTAGGGCTTGCTTTCTATTTTAATATGTACCTTAAAATTTGCCAAATGGAAATAAGTATCTTAGGATGAGCAGATGGTGTAATGGTTATGTTGCTGGATTCCCAGATGGTTAGCTGCGGTTTGAGTCCCGGACTCGGTGGCTTGAAATTCAGGCTGTGTGTGTGTGTGTGTGTGTGTGTATACGTGCCCAAAATCCTGAGAGGAGAATGGAGAAGGGATTGTGGGGTGGCCAACCCCCCACTGCAGATGTCTCTGTCTCTCTGAGCATGCACGCCCTATAGCAAAAATCTCTCTAGAAAAACTAAAGGAAATCTTAAATTTTCTTTTTTGGGGGGGGGGGAGAGGCTTTTGCTATAGGGTGCGTGTGCTCGCCAGACAGACAGAGATACAGACAGCCAGAAAGCGAGAAATCGAGAAATCATCCCCCCAGGGAGGATGGCCACGCCGCAATCCCTTCTCTGTTCTTCTCTCAGGATCTTGGGCACGCACGCACGCACACGCGCCCAGTGTGAGTTTTAAGCTACCGGGTCCGGGACGCGAACCGCGGTCGACTACATGGGAGTCCAGCGACATAGCCATTACGCTAACTGCTGGTCTCTTAAATTTTCTTTAGTATAGATCATTTGTCATAAAATTTAGTGCATTAAAGGTTTTTTTTTTCAATTTGAGTTTTTGTTTTTAGTTGCCTTCCTGGAGAAAGAGAGAAAGTAAGTGAGAAACCAACTCCCTCATTGGGGTCATGCCGCAGTCCCTTCTCCACCTCTCTCTCCTGTTGGGGTTCTAGGCACGTGTGCACACATGCACTCAAGCATGTATCTCAAGATGCTGGGTCCAGGACTTGAACTGTGCTGTCAGCCATGTGGGATATAGATAGCCACCTTAACCATACATGGATTGGCCAGCATTTTTTATTTGCTCATTGATTATTTTTTTAGATTTCTTTGTCAGAGTGTGAGTGCTGGCTGAAGAGAGACATAGAGGGAAAGTGAGAAATCACCCCACGGGGGATGGCCATGCCACATGCCCTTCTCATCTGTTCTCCTCTTGGGATTTTGGGCACAGACACATGCCTGTCGTGGTTTTCAGGCTGCTGGGTCCGACACTTGAACTGCAGAGCTGGCTATGTGGGATCCAGTTCCTCAACTACCACACTACCTGCTATCCCCCACATTTGACTTTTTAAAAACCTCTGGTTTTAGTGAGAACAGTTATGTTTGGTTATGATTCAAGAGTTTGAGTTTAGTAGCAACCATCTAGGACCTTTTTACATTTTAAATGGACTTTACACATGTGTAAAATGGATTTATTTAGATGAAAGTGATCTTAATTAGCATTAACTAAGTGTTCACAGATTTCATTTCTACTCATTAAGCTTAAAAGAAGAGATTTCTGTTTGAGGTGAGATTGGATCAAGTGCTTGGAGTGAGTAATGGTGGTATGACTTCTCTTTCAGACACGTTCATGAGCACCGAGGTAGAGACAGTGGAAGAGGTTAACCCTGGCAAGGATCTAAAGGACTCGGGTGGATTAAACGAAGACATTTTAGACAGTTCACATGATGATGTTCCTGCCGACACAGTGGGTGAAGAGGAATTCAGAGTGGAGGAAACGGCACGGGGCCAGGCCTGTTAAGTGTCAGTAGTAACTTTGTGCTTCATCCAGAAGCGGATGAGGTGGGACAGTCCTCCACGAAGGGGAAATGTATCTGCAGGTTTGGGATAAATGTGTATTTTCTCTGCTTTGCAGATTCCTGTATAAAGTCTTAACTTTATTTATAATCACGGTAGTTTAGTCTATTCTCAGCGCTGTGACTTGTTAAGTGTCCAGCAGCTAATGAGCAGCACCTGCTGCGGTGTGTGTTGGTGCCTTGCTCTTCTAGTGTCGGCCATGTTTTAAGGTGTAAACATACAGCTCGTTGACTGTTAATGCCCATTTTTCAAAAGTGAAAATAAAAATGCTTTTACAAATTAGCTTTTTAAAAAATGATTTAATTTTATTATTACTTTTTAAAAGAATTATTTTAACTTCATTTATTTATTCTAATTTGATCAGAGAGGGGCAGAGAGAGAGAGAGACAAAGCAAAAGCAAGCCACCAGGCCCAGGACCCGAACCATGGTTAGCCATGTGGGAATCAACCTCAACCACCACACCACCTGCCAGCCCCTCATTATTATTTTTTAAAATTATTTTATTTATCTTTATTTATTTATTTGACCAGAGAGAGACAGAGGCAAGAAGGGAAAGCGAAAGGAAGCCACCAGGTCTGGAACTTGAACTGTGGTTGGCCATGTGGGAATCCAGCATCCCAACCACCTCACCACCTGCTGGCCCCAAACTAGAGGCTCTGTGAAAGCTCCTTTGCTGTTTTTGTACTTTTCACTTTGGATAGAATATTTAAGGTTTTACATGTATTTCAAGGAGTGGCTTTAGTACGTCAAAGGCTGATGAACTGCCTGGCCTTTGGAGGTGCCCGGAATTTCAGAGACTGTTCCCTGGTTCCCGACTGACTAGTTGAAGAGAAACCTACAGGGTTTCCTGGGAAACACAAGGCACCTTGGGAGAATTCACAAGAGAGACCTTTCAGTTGGAGAAGACTCCAAGAATTGGGAACCTCATTTATGGAAATAAAGATGAAGAAAGGGAGGTTGGGAACGGTTAGCCTAGAAGTGCTGGGTAGATGGTGGGGTGGGAGGAGCCAGCTGCAGGGCTCTGCGTAGGTCATCAGCTTGGTGGAGGGAGCCGTTACAGGTTAAGAGTCGTTACAGGTTAAGAGTCGCTTGACAACCAGGCTTAAAGGTGATTCTTGCAGAAGGTTCCCATGGAAGAGGGACTAGTCTAGGCTGTTTTTTTTTTTTTTTTTTTGAAAGGGGGCCAGGGGGTTTTTTGTTTTGGTTGTTTTTTTTTTTTTTTTTGTGGAAAGGAGACCAGGAGATTTTTGTTTCTTGTCTCCTTTTCCCTCAGGGAAGGGCAGGGTGATGGTGCCATCGTCTTCCATCTGCAGAGTCAGCAGGCATCTTGTCCTCTTCATGCTTTTCATGCTTTCCGACTTCCGGTGGGGACAGGGAGGGACAGTTTGAAAAGCCAGGAAGTTGAGCACAAGGACACCTGTGGGTGTGGGCTTGTTGGGAACCATGGTGGTGACAGGCTAAGAGGTGCGTGCAGGAGTGCGGAGCCATGCTGCCAAAGGTGGAGCCCGAGCCCAGGCTGAAGGTGTCACCAGTGCGAGAAACCGCTTCCTCAGGAGAGCTGTGCGGGCCTCCCCACGTGGGTCACAGGCACCTGGGGACTCCAGTGGTGGATTTGCGGGCAAAACAGCAAGTTTACAATAAGAAGGTTAATGGACCTCATTCTCTGAGGAGTGCTGGACACAGCAGGGGAGTAGGAAGGGAGCTTTGCCAGGAGGCCTTTCCCGGGCCCCCCCACCCGGCTCGTAGGCCCTATTCCCAGCCAGTCCTGGGACAGCAGGGACAGCTCAAGTCGAATATGAAAATGGGCAGACCTAAGTCTCATGATCTGACAGGTGTCAGAAGAGCTGGGCTTTAGGCCCAGTGCATCAATGAAAAAAATAAACTCGGAAAACTGATTTGAGAAAATAACCTGTTTTGCAGAAGCACCATTTACTGTCCACTCATTACGAAAAATCAGTTTTCATAATTACATCTTCAACTTTGATGAAATTATGAGAGAGTGCTTGACACATAATGTGAATTATCTACCCAATCTTGAGTGATTAGAGCATTGGATGACAGAAAATTAGATATTATAAATGTGAAAAAGATGGGCTGGGCAGTGGGGCGGCGGGTGGTAAAAGGCAACACCGCGTGGATGACACACAGGGAAAGGCTCTGTGTTCACACCTGGGCCTTCCCCACGTGTGCCCATCACCTGGCGCTGGCTGGAACTATGAGTGGGTTGTGGTGTCAAGATTCTCCTTTTGCTCATGGAAGAATTAAGTAATAAACTAAAAAAAATACATATACACACACACATACATAACATTGTGTGTGTGTGTGTGTGCGTGCATTTTTTTAGTGTGCGCTCAACAAAGAGACAAAATGAGAAGTCACCCCCCAGCGGGGGTGGCCATGCTGCAATCCCTCCTCCATTCTCTCAGGAGCTGGGGCACACACACTTGTACCCAGTGTGATTTTCAACCCACTGTGTCTAGGACTTGGAACTGTGGAGTCAGCCATGTGATATCCAGTGTCTGAACTACCACCACACCTGCTGGCCCAATATAGATAGATAGAAAGATAGATGCAGATAGATCGATCTATCTGTATTTATTTTTTTGGAGAGGTTTTTGCTATAGGGCACATGTGCTCACCAGAAAGATAGACAGAGAGAGAGAAATCACCCCCCGGGGGGATGGCCACGCTGCAATCCCTTCTCCATTCTTGGAATCTTGGGCACACACACATGTGCCTGGCCTGAGTTTGAGCCACTGGATCGGGGACTCGAATTGCGGTCGATTACATAGGAGTCCAGTGACATAGCCACTGCGCCAACTGCTGTCCCTCTATCTGTTTATTTTGTTAATGTGAAAGGACTGACATGCAGAGGACAGAGCTCTTTTAATGAGGTGAGAGTACTTCATATCCCATGACCGCTGGAAACATCCAGGAGCGCTAGGTCCCTGATCTCCTCGAGAAGCGTGTACAGACTCCTCCCCTGCGTCTGGCAGTACTCTCGACACTCTTCCTGAAGGGCGTCCCCTGTGACTTGCTGGGCCAGCTGAGCTTCTTCCACAGATCTCGTCACCTCTTTGACTAGCTCGCTCTTCAGCAGGGGGCAGCTCGGAGGGTAAAGTTCTGTGTTCGGTATCCTGAAAGGTTTGTTGCTTATTATCTCAAGCCTGATGGTGTCGGAATGGCATCGCGAGGCCTGTACAGATATTCTTACCTGTCGCAGAGGGGAACATTCATGTTAGCAAGCCAGTTCTCTGTTCTCTGCACTGAAAACCGCACTCGGCAGAAGCACGCACTTACTGTTATGTGGTCGAACAAATGGAACGTCACCGACTCCCCTCCTGTTGTGGTAGAGGTGATTCTGCTTTGAAATCGCTGAAGGGACCCTGGCTTCCATTCACAGCAGCCATCTGGGCCACATGCGATCACTAAGCCATCTTTGTTTTTCAGATAAGCAGCACCTTTAATGCCAAACCTGCACCATTGTCAGAATGAAAATCCAGAGGTAATGTATTCTTAGTATGCAGATCTTACAGACTTATCTAGAGCGCTAGTTCTAAATCCAGATTAAAAACGTTACTTTCCCTATGGTTTATCTCCAAATATTTATTCCACTGTAGCAGATGGAAACACAAAATGTTTTGTTAGATAAGGAAGTGATCCTGAGCTTGATGGAGATGGGTGGATGTGTGTACTTCAGTCTCCGACTTCATACCTACATACTGAGCTACGCAGGGCGGACATATGGTAACCGTATAATTCGTTGCTTAAATACCTTAGCAGACTATATTTCCTGTACTGTTTGTTTTACACTTTGGAGTACCAGTTTTTACCGCTGTGTCAGCTCTACCTACCTGGGAATAAACACCAGCACACCATTCGTTCTGACCGAGTAAATGACCCCGTCAGACACGCAGCGCTCGTCGGAGTCAGGGTCTTTGTCTTTAAAGTACATGCACTGGAAGAGCTCTGTAGACTGCTTCTGGGAATGCTGGGCTGCCTGTAAAAAGAGGCACAACCCCAAAGCACTGAAATAAACTCCCCGATATTCCCAGAAGAAATAATATTTCCATGGAAGCATTATCTTTAAAAAAAGGGTAGGTTCCAGAAAGCTTTTTTTTTTTTAATTTATTCATTCATTTAATTTAAGCAGAGAGAAAGAAAGTGAGAACAGATTAGTCACCAGGTCTGGGACTTGAACCATGGTCAGCCATGTGGGAGTGTCCAGCACTTTAACCACCACACTACTTGCTGGCCCCCTGGAAAGCTATTCTTTTTTTTTGAGAGGTTTTCGCTATAGGGCACGTGCGCTCGCCAGAGAGAGAGACATAGAGACAGAAAGCGAGAAATCACCCCCCAGGGAGATGGTCATGCCGCAATCCCCTCTCCTCCATTCTCCTCTCAGGATCTTGGGCATGCACGCACACGCGCCCGGCGTGAGTTCTAAGCCACCGGGTCCAGGATGCGAACCGCGGTCGACTACGTGGGAGTCCAGCGACATACTAGTTCCCCCAGAAAGCTATTCTTTAAAAATAATTATTTTGGGGGAACCAGCAGTTAGCGTAATGGCTATGTTGCCTGACTCCCACGTAGTCAACCTACGTT